CACAATGGAATGTTATTCAGCCATAAGAAGAAAACAAATCCTACCACTTGCAACAACATGGATGGAGCTAGAGGGTATTATGCTCAGTGAAATAAGTCAGGCGGAGAAAGACAAGTACCAAATGATTTCACTCATATGTGGAGTATAAGAACAAAGAAAAAACTGAAGGAACAAAACAGCAGCAGACTCACAGAACCCAAGAATGCACTAACAGTTACCAAAGGGAAAGGGGCTTGGGAGGATAGGTGGGAAGGGAGAGATAAGGGGGTGAAAAAGAAAGGAGGCATTACAATTAGCATGTATAATGGGGGGGTGGGGGCACGGGGAGGGACGTGCAACACAGAGAAGACAAGTAGTGACTCTACAGCATCTTACTACGCTGATGGACAGTGAGTGTAATAGGGTTTGTGGGGGGGACTTGGTGAAGGGGGAAGCCTAGTAAACATAATGTTCCTCATGTAATTGTAGATTAATGATACCAAAATAAAGAAAAAACAGAACAAGTTAAAGCATTATGTCCTAAAATGGTGGGTCAGGAGATCCTTTCCTATAGCAGTCCTCATTCCAGAACTGTTCGGATTAAAGCCAGACTGAGGGATCCAACCCCATGGGCAAGAGTCCCATCCCCTCCAAACCATAGTCTCCAAAGCACCATTCTCTAAAACTATGGTCTCTACAGACACCTAGAGCTTGAAGACCACTGCTGTAGCACACACACCCCTCCCCCATTATGGTTAGAGATCTAGGAAGAGCCTGCACTATCACTGTCAAATTACAGATGAAGAGAATGGGGCTCAAAGAGTATGACTTATTCAAGAGCATGCAGCTGAGCTCAGATCTTCTGGCTACTCAAGGAGTGACATCTCTACAAAATGCTGTTAAAGAAAAATCTTCACAACTTACACAAACAGCACACAAAACTATTCTATGGAAACAACAAAGGTTTGAGCTTAAATGGGTCCACTGATAAGCAGAATTTTTTTTCAATAAATGTATTGAAAATTTTTCTTTGGAGATTTGCAACAATTTGAAAAAATACCTTCTCTCCTCTAACTTACTTTTTTATAAGAATACAGTATATGATACACATAACATGCAAAGTATGTGTTAATCAATTATGTTATCAGTAGGGCTTCTGGTCAACAGTAGGCTATTAGTAGTTACCTTTTTGGGGAGTCAAATGTTATACCTGGAAATTCAACTGTGCCAAGGGTAAGAGAGGGAGGGAAGATGTGGCCCCTAACTTCTGCATTGTTCAAGGGTCAACTATAATTTAAATATCCCCTGGGCAACCATACTGAGTTTTTTACTTACTAAGCCTTGTTTACAGCTGAAGTAAACCAGAGCCTATGAGAATATCACAAACCCCTATTTTCTGCAATCCCAACAAATTAAATTTTAGAATTTTACTATTTTGAGAAATTAGAAAACTTAAGATTGCAAAAATACTTAAAAGTCTTCTTTAAGAATAGAAGGGGAATTTCAACAAAGGTGCCAAGACAACTAAGTGAAGAAAAAAATGTCTTTTCAACAAATGTTGCTAGGACAACTGCATATCCCCACACAAAAGAATGCAGCTGGATCCCTGCCTCACACCATGCACAAACATTAAAAGTAATCTAAATGTTAAATGTAAGAGCTAAAGCTACAAAACTCTTAGAAGAAAACAGAAGCACATCTTCATGTTCTTGAGTTAAGAAATGGATTCTATAGGTATGATACCAAAGGCACAAGCAATGAAAGAAAAAAAGACAAATTGGACATCATCAAAATTAAAAACTTTTGTGTTATAAACAATATCATAAAGTGAAAAGACAACCCACAGAATGAGAGAAAATTCTTGCAAATCATGATCTATAGAACTCTTAACATAATAATAAAAAGAAATAATCTGATTATAAAATGGGCAAAGGATGGAGACAATACGTTGCTCCAAAGAAGATATACAAAAAGATGCTCAACAATCATTACGGAAATGCAAATCAAAACCACAATGAGATACCACACCCACCAGAATGGCTAGAAACAAGAAGACACTCTGTGTTGGTAAGGATGTAGAGAAACTAGAACTTTCACACACTACTGGTGGGATTATAAAGTGGTGTTATAAACATGCCAAAAGATAAAACACACAGTTAACGTATGGCCGAGCCATTCCAGTCCTAGGCATATATTCAAGAGAAATGACAACATAGGTCCACACAAAAACTGGTACACGAATGTTCATAGCAGCATTATTCATCAAAGGCAAAAAAAGTAGAAACAATCCCATCAATAATGAATGGATAAACGAAATGTAGTATATCCATACAATGGACTTTTGACAATAAAAACAAAGTACTGAAACATGCTGTAATATGGACAAACCTCAAAAACATTACACTAACAACAATATGTGTAGACCACATATTACATGATTTCATTTATCTGGAATGTTTAGAACAGGCAATTCTATAAAGACAGAAAGTATATCAGTGGTTGCCAGGGGCTGGGGGAAGAAGTGAATGGGGAGCGACTGCTAATGGGTATAGGGTTTCTTTTTGGGATGATTAAAATGTTCCACAATTAGACTGTGGTGATGGTTGTACAACTTCTTGAGAACATTAAAAACCACTGAATGAGTGAATTGTATGTTAATTATATTTCAAATCTTAAAAAAAAAAAGAACAAAAGGTAGAGAGGGTTATAAAGTGTGCTTCTAACCCTAAAGAGAATTTCAATTATACTTTTCAATCATAGTATTAGGTCTGTATTGAACATCTTGGCCTCAGGGATTAAAATGTTTGGGGTGGGGGGGTCAGTGTGGTTAACTCCACTTCATCTTTAATTAAAATTATTGGGATCTGATGAATCTAATGGTAAGCCCTGATGGGGCTAATGGACATGCCCCCTCAATAAATAGATTTAACCACTATATTCACCAGATATCTGGTATACCCTTTATTTCTTTAAGGCCCATATTGCATTTTTGTTAATTAAGCTGCCCTTCCTCTAAGTCTTTAGCTTATCTTAGACCCTTTTTTTCACCTCTCTTCTTTCACTTCCCTTGAATGAATACTGTATTCTAAATACAAATTTACTTTCCTGACTTTCTGTCTTTTCTTCAGGCAGTGTTTTTATGTAATTTGTCAAAGTGATTTTAATCCAGTGATACCAGTCCATATCTAAGAAGCTGCTTTTTTAAGTATAATTGATTAAGCTGGGTTCTGTGATGAATGGCATTACCTTTGCTACTAGTGCTACTAAGACTTCGTATTTATATGGCACTTCACATATATCATCTTAACAAAAGGCTGTTCACTGTGGGCAAAAGGTAATCATGGACAACAACTGGGGTTGGGATAGTAAGTATGTTCATGATAATACTGTGAAACTATACTCATAGCATGAAAGCACTTCATTTCTGAATGATTGTCCCCCAGAGCTCTGAGTTATACTTAGAAGATTTTTCACTATGTATGCATATCTGTTTCATATTTGGAATCCTGCTAATGTATTAACAATTCAAAAAAATTTTTTTAAAGTGATAAATTCTGCATCACTCAAAGAGGCATATTTTATAAATATGTTATAAATATTTGCAAAGCTGTTCTTAGAAGAACTAAAATAAGTAAGATTCATATTAAAATGTTAAGCTGCCCTTCAGTTTCATATGCATACATTTCAAAATACACATACATTTCAAAAACAGGGCCAAGCCAAATAAGAAAGTAGAAAATAAGGGAAAAGTCAGGACAAACTCAATAGATCACAAGTAAAAATGCAGAAATGCCTACTCTCCACAACAAAACAAGTACATCAGGAAAAAAGTCATAGTAAGAAAGACCCTTCATAAAATTAATGTAGACACTGATTTAAACAAAAGACAGAAATGCCAATTTAAAAGAACCTACAGTTTTCATTGGCATTGAAACCTCTAAGAATGGCCTTCAGTTCCTGGAGTTTCTGATGAGCTCGTGCATGGATGCTGTCAATCAGGAGTTTTTCTGTTGATAAGTGATCAATCTGCATAAACAAGAACAACAGAACTGTATGTACAATTTAAACATTTTTACTTTAAAAGACTTAGAGTAGACTATTGTACTTTGAGATACTTCCTTTTAGAATCACACTGATTAAGTGGTAATCAGTAAAAAAAAGCAAAGTTAAAGAAAACTCATATGGCACTTGTAGCTTAAGGACTATAGTCAATATTTTGGCAAGTATAGATCAAGATACTATATGTATCAGTTATTGTGATTAAATGATGGACCTTAAAAATGAAATGGTGATCTCATTTAAATTACAAACTTTCAAAGAACATCTTAAAAATTTTACATTATAATATTAGATGTTAAAGAACAAATATAGAAGCATAACATTACTTTAAAACAAGTTTCATAAAAGGTTTCAGAACAATTATGTATTTTAAAGAATTTGTGCTAAAAGTCTAAGTATAAATGGTAAGTTACATTATATTCATTTAATCAAACCAATATTAAAATATATTGAGATCTTTTACCTTCATGGCTCTTTCTACTAACTTGGAATCAGAACCTGGCAAAGGAGGATCATGAAAAATCTGTAAAGGCTTAGAGCCATCATTCTCATCAATTTTAATTGTAACTTTGTGAACAGATGCTGTCCCAGTTTTTCTCCCAAGAACCTGTTGACTAAAGAGAAAAAAGAAATATTAATGATTTTTTTGAACACAGCCTGTTAACATTCTGAATAAAATAGAGACAAAATTTATTGTGCACCTTACCAGGGCCTAGGACATGGCAGGCCCTCATTGCCTGTGGAGGGTTAAATAAATTAATATTGGGAAGATAGTTATTCTATAATCCAACACAAAATTTGATGACTTTATTTAAAAAAAACCACATTTTTAAAAATTTTAAAACAAAATACATGCTTACAAAACAAAAACTCCAGGACAAAATACCCTGTCTTCTAAGTGGTATGTCTATTCATCTCTGATTCCTTTACAGAAAATAGGAATCAAAATTCAAGCAGGGAATCGGAGACTGTAAACAGCTTGATACCGATTCTATCCCAAAACTTTCCCCAAAAAAGATTTTATTATTTGTTTGATATTATATTATATTAGTTTCAGGTGTGCCACACAGTGATTTGACACATATACATTGTGAAATGCTCATGGTAAATGTAGTTAACATCTGTTATCATACAAAGTTATTACAGTATTATTAACTATATTTCCTATGCTGTACTTTTCATCCCCATGACTTATTTATTCTATAATTGGAAGCTTGTACCTCATGATCCCCTTCATCTATTCCCCCCACATTTCTCCCCTCTAGCAGCCACAGGTTTGTTCTCTGTATTTATGAGGCTATTTCTGTTTTGTTGTTGTTTGTTTAGACTCCACATATAAATGAAATCACAGGTACTTGTCTTTCTCTGATTTATTTCCCTTAGCATAATACCCTCTAGGTCCATCCATGTTGTTGCAGATGGCAAGATTTCATTATTTTTTGTGGCTGAAGAATACCAAAAAAATATTTTTAAAGGCACAATTCAAAATGTAAAACTGTGATAAGCAAGAGTGTTTTTGAAAATAATAGCTACCAATCTAAATCAATGATCTTTTAGCAATTGGATACGAGCCCAGAGTAATCTAACTTTTAAAGAATAGTAAGTCTTAGTACAAATACATAGATGTCTACATATTTCAAACAAGCCATGTTCTAAGAAAGGTGTCAGTTATGGCTGTCCTATGTAGTTTGTACGATACCACAGGACCTTACTATACAAAATCATGTTGCTAGAGGTGCACAGCTACTGGTATATAGTAAATCAGATGTATGAGAGGACAAGAGAAACAAAAAGACAGTATTCACAAAGCTTAACCCACCAGCATCAACTTTACTTACTTCCAAACTGAGAGAGAGAGGCACTTCCCAGCATGATATCTTTCCACCTGCACAAGGTCTCCCCACCGCTCTCGGATTAACATTAGAGTTTGAGAGTGTAGTACTTCTAACTGAAGTGATAAGCAGAAAGAATCTGATGGATCTTGTTAAGCAAATCTGATATATTAGTACAAAAGCCAATAAAGTACAAGCCAACTTAATTTAACCAAAGCTCTATTTCCAAAAAGGTGACTATGAAAAAACTCTCTGGAATTTTATTTCTCCAATGACTTTTCTGAAAAAGTATTAATAATTTGTAGCACAATTTTAGAAAAAGGTCTTTTAACTAATCTAAACAAATTACATTGTCCAAGCTAACCCTTAATTCATCATAGCTTAGAGAACACAGGTAGACCAAATAGTACTATTTCTAACTTATCATTTTTGTTCTTACCTGCAAAGTAATATTTAAAACTTGGTTTATCACAGGTTTATCACTATTCTTCACATTGACCAGTTCCCCAGCCCCATTTCTGCACAAAGAAGTAGAAAAGGAAGTCTAGGCTGCTATGGTTCAGGACTAGGAGCACGTGGGAATTTGGGGGGAGAGGGAGACACAAATTCCTTACAAATACATGTCTCAAATTTCAGAAGGATACGTAGGCAGTTGTACATGTCCTGAAGAGGTTTCTCATCAGCAAAAAGCCTAGATTGCACCAGCTGATGGATAAAGTCGATTTGCATACTATGAACCAAGGTTCGCCCATCTTTCATTGGCAGGAGAAAAGAAGGTGGTTAATCAGAAAAGTGTATAGATTGAGTTATAGTACCAACTAAGGAAGAGTAGAGTAACTAACAATGAATTTTTTTAAAAAACTGAAGTTATCTATGGAAACTACAGAACATTATACTTGAGAAACATTGAAACCTCTATGGTTAGTAGGTAGTCAAGAATATCATAAACTCTGCTCCAAATTATAGGATAAATTGCTAGTGAGAATGTTTCAATAATATAAAAACATCAAACACTTAAATCAATACTTATGATTTAATCAGAATTTATGATTCACCTCCTGTTTCCTTATCCTCGACTAGAATTTCTAGCTTGAGAAGACGCCATGGAACATCAGGATCATCTCCCATCACGGTCAAGGTGGCTTCAAATTCTCCTTCAACTCGAAACTTCACTCGGCCATTTGCTTTTAGAAAAAGAATTAAGTATATACTTTGCTAGAAAATAAGCAGTTTCCTGCTAACCTAGAACTTTCAGTCTTGGTTATAAGAAATTTTAAACATGTTGAATGTTCCTTCAAAAGTGTCACAATTCAGTCATTCCTACTAAGCAGTAGCCAGCATCAGGATCATAAAGAAACTAAAGGCAACTCTTCTAACATCAATGAACAGTATTTTCTTGAGGCTCAATCCGGGGATTTTGTTGTCTCCTCCAGCCCCAAGGGATCTCACCCACTCTCCAGCTTCAAATACCAACATTGTATTTCCAGGTACTGAAGAGAAATGATAGGGCTGGCAAAGTCACAGATTCGAACACCATCAGAACTGTAGGTCAAAACTTCATAATGATATTTCTTTGAATAAAATGCCAAAAGCTATTTCTAAAAAAATTCTAAAAAGTCAATTCGTAAAAAAAAAAAAACTTTAGGTACATACCAACTGTAAGATTTGCTAACTGAGGAGGAAGATCTGTGGTTACAAGCCTATGTCTAAGAATCTGGTTCAGCTGGTGAAGGGTGGCTTGTTTCTCAATTTTGGTAATTGGGTCTGGAGGAATAATTTTATCCTACAAAAGAATTTAAGTGATTTTAAAATAATGTATAAGGATGCTTAATTTTTACCTGTACCTGTCTTAACACAGTATTTTCTTACTTTACCCAAGAGAAACTCAACTCTCATTTCTGCAATCTATAGCCAGTAATAGTGATGATTACTATCGTGCTTGAGTATTCCAATTATTCCACCAGCCACCCAGCTAAGATGGTAATGTGACACAATCTTCTTCATGCTCTATTTATGAAACCCACCTTAATGTCACTAGATGACTTCCACTACTTCTTGAAAGTATAAAACACAATAGCACCAAGTCAGTAAACAACTACCACAACATTAAATTAGAAAAAAAAACTTCCAAAAAGCAACTAGCATGCAGTATTTTCACATCTGAAACAGATGTAAGTCATATTTGTACATCTGTTCACTCTCACACACAAAAAATGATTCACTCATTTTGATAGTTACTCACATTCTGGCCTCAATTTATTTCAAACCCCCACAATTTTAGGATAGAGAAAAAAAGTGAGCTACATGAAATACTTGTTTTAAGAATACAGAACAGTTTCTTGATGGGCTATTTAATAACAGAGTAGAATCCAGTGCCAAAGCCTTCAACTTTTAAGAACAGGGTGGTCTGGTGGGGGTGGGAGGGGTGGGCAGTGGACTTACCCTAATGCAGGTGGGCAGTCGTGGATAAGACCCAGTAGTCAGTACGTCAATGGCATATGGGATGGCAAAACTAGGCAGGCGTGCATGGACTAGGGCATCTCTAGCTAATGAGGCCAGGCGATCAGCTGTGTCCACAAAGAGGATGGCTTGCTGATCTAAAAAGCTTGAGATCATCTTTAAAGCAAAGAGTAAATGTATTTACCTTCCTTGACAACTACCTGCTTTTCACTTCAAATATTATTGGTTCATTCCAAAGAAAACTTCAAGGGAAATTAATATAGATTTTTCCATATTTCAAAATATTTCCTCAAAAAATTCCTAGCAATTTGAAGAAAAAAATATTTGATACCTTTGTATTTGACTTTAAAATTGTAACTTTTTATCACTTTAAGTAAAAGGTTTTCTAATTTGTTTCTCCATCTTTAACATTACACATACATAATATCAGAAGTTAGAAAAAATAAGTAAAATAAAATGCTTTTTACTCTTACAGACTTTTAGAAGTACTTGTTAATAAAGTAGTTAAAAGCATGGACACCTGGATCCAGATTGCCTTGGTCTCAATTTTTAACTCTGCAACTTGCTAGCCCTATCACCTTAGACAAGTAATTTAACCTCTCTGTGCCTCAGTTTTTTTCAACTGTAAAATGGAGATGGTAATAGATTTCCAATCTCATGAGGTTCTTTGCGCTTATAAAACCTTTAGAATAGTGCCTAAAACACAAAAAAATACTTGATAAACATTGTCCATTATGAGACCTAGGTCAACTTCACACCCAGTACAGAAATCCTTTCCATCAGTTTTCTACTTAATGCACTTCTAGTAGAACTCATCACAGAGCTGAAAACGGAACTTACCATCCTTACTCCTCCGCCTGGAAATGCTACAATTTATCAGTGGCCAACTTATAACATTGTATCCAGAGTTGATACTATGTATCTCTTTCTCTGGCAAACACCATGCCCTACATTTTCTCAGTACTTCCACGCTAATTTTATTATCTGATTTTCACAAATCTAAGAAATAGACAAAACCAGATAATTATACCACCTTAGAAATATGAAAAATTGAAGCTTAGGTTAATATACTTGCCCAAGGATATCCAACAATCAGAGAAGCTAGAACCAAAACCCAAAAACCTTTCTTCTAACTCTTAGGTAGACCTGCATAACCCAGTAGAAGTGCTACCTTCTATGACTGCTAAAATAGATGTCTACCAATGCCACCAACATTAACTTCTTATTAGCAGTCACAATGCTGCTAACACACAGTGAGCTTAGAGTCACTTAAAAGGCCTTGACCTTTTGTATGTGAATCTCTACCAAGCAAGGTCCCCTTTCCTATCCTGAACCTAAAGCAGGACTGCAATCTGTCTGACTTTAACATATTAAAACCATCTTGAATCCTGCTTCTCTCAGCTTCTGAACTGGTTTTTTAGATCATCCCAAGTCTCACTTCAGTCAGAACACTGTAAAAATGCTTATCAGACCAATTCCAAGGCCAAAAAACACCCAAGACCTCTTTCCAGGAAGACATGCACTACTCTAGTGAGGTACCACAGTTTATCCAGCCCATACTGCTCCACCTTAAACATAGGCAATTAATGAAACACTCTCTAAACTACCTTGCTCAACTCAAAATACACTAGCTTCAGCTATCATCCTTTGACCTAGAAATCTAATCAAGATAAAACTTTAGGTTTGAGTAACTTACTAGTGAATCCATCTATGTTCCTAATGATCATCAAATTCTTTTTTTAAGTACTCACACACCAGTTGTTAATACGGTTGATAATATTCTCCTTTAAAATTTAACTGAGCACTGAATACACATTTTCTAAGGAAAATATATATAAATGGCCAAAAGTTCATGAGAAGATGTTCAATATCACTAGTCATCAGAGAAATTCAAATCAAAACCACAATGAGTTACCACCTTCACACAGTCTATGAGGAAGCCTCATACAGTGCTGGTGGTAATGTAAAATGGTATAGCCATTTTGGAAAACAGTCTGACAACTCCTCAAGTGATTACACATAGTTACCTTATGACCCAGCCATTCCACTCCTAGGTATATAACCAAGAGAAATGAAAACATACGTCCACACAGAAACTTATACATCAATGTTTCTAGCAACCTCATTTATAATTGCCCAAAACTGACCTAAATGTCCATTAACTGATGAATGGATAAAGTGCAGTAGATCCATACATTTCAAATATAAAAAAGAATGAAGTACTGCTTTATGCTACAACATAGATGAACCTTAGCATTATGCTAAGTGAAAGAAGTCAGTCACAAAACACCACGTATTATGATTCCATTTATATGAAATGTTCAGAATAGGCACATCCATGGAGACAGAAGATCAGTGGTTACTTAGGGCTGGTGGGGAGTGGGGGGCGCTTGTGGGTGACAGCTAAAGGGTACAAGTTTTCTTTTTGAGGCCATAAAAATATTCTAAAATTGACTGGGGTGATAGTTGCAATTATCCATGAATATACTAAATACCACTGAACTGTACATTTTAAATGGGTGGATTATATAATTAAATATATCTCGAGCTGTTTTTTAAAAAACTCTAGGAGAATGAGAGATATTTTCTCTTTTTCTTAGATAAAACTTGATCCAGAATGTTTTATCATTAGTCAGAGTTCTATAAACTGTGTACAGTAGTTCCCCCTTTATCTGTAGTTTCAACTACCCGCAGAACATCAGTCTGGAAGCAGATGATCCTCTTTCTGAGGTACTGTCAGGTCAATAGTAGGCTAGCACTATGTCACAATGCCTACATCATTCACCTCACTTGTCTCATCACATAGGCATTTTATCATCTCACATCACCACAAGATGGGTAAGTAGAGTGTAAGATATTTTGAGAAAGACCACATTCACGTAACTTTTATTACAGTACACTGTTATAATTGTTCTATTTTATTATTATTGTTGTTAATCTCTTACTGTGCCTAATTTATAAATTAAACTTTATCACAGGTTAAGTATATGTAGGAAAAAATATAGTATATATAGGGTTTGGGCGTATCCTGTTTCAGGCATCCACTGGAAGTCTTAGAACATCTCCCTGATGGATAAGGGGGGACTACTGTATTTATACACTCAGCTAGACACATGATATGTCTGGCATAGCCAAAGATCATTATCTGTTAAAAACCTCTAATGAGACTAGTAAAATAATCATTCGGTTGAGAACAGAAGTGTCAAAACTTGAATAATCCTTTGATTCCCTAGCTGATGCACTTTATCACTCACATAAACATATCTGTATCTACATTCACAAAACAAAAATAACAAAACTTTATGTAAGTTAAATATGAGACTATATTCAGAATGTGACTTACTGATAAGCCAATTCAAAAAACGAATAGAATAATGCTATGCTATACTGAGTTAATGAAAGATGAATACAATATGATATAATATCAAAACCAAGAGTTTTGGATTTCATTTGATATTTTATTACTGAAGCATAACTCAGTTGAATCAAACAGGTAATTCAAATACCCATGATATAATTAAGGATTTAATACCAGATTTGAAAAACTGAACACTTGGATTTGATACACTTCAGTAATACATAACTTTTCACTGAAAGTTCGAACATCTTTAAGAAAACATTACCCCAAATTAAATAATTATTGAAAAGAAACCTTAGGCTTTTAAGAAATACTATACTATGCTTCTTCATTTTAGCCAAAATAGATTCATTAGACTTGCTGCCCAAATTTTCAAAACAATGAAGTGAATTGTAAACTCTCTGATAAATAAGCTTGGAATAAGTTTGTTTATTAATATTTACAATAAAAACTATTCTTTGAATGATGCTTTACAGTGTACAAACGACCTTCTGTCTACAAACTTTAATTTCCCAATCACATCAACAAACAGATGAATAAAAGGATCTTCCCCCCTGCTACAGTAAGGAAAATGGTATTTGGTACAAAATATTCTCCCACTAAACAAACTTTGATCTGTGTTATACAGAAAGGATGATAGCTTGCTCCTAGACACAAAGAGTATGTGGCTAGAATGTGTCTTACAGAATTCTACCAGTCTTGTCATTGGCTTATTAACTTCAGTGAAAATCAGGGTTTTTTTTTTAACTTAAAATGACATTTTTCTAGAATTTCAAATCCTCCTTCTTCATAACCTCTTTTCTCCTTTCACTTTATCAACTTTCATATAGGCTTTATGTCTAATGATTAGAGAACCTAGTGACACTGAGGACGGCAAATGTAGTGGACTAAAATTATGGTGAGATGTCAGGAAATCATAGGCAGAAATACAATTGTGTTAGATTTCTTCCTGGAGTGGAATTTTATGGAATAGGTAAAACCCAATAGATTTACAAATATAATATTACTATATAAAAATATTTTCAACTTAGCTTGTCAGAGCACGGAAAATAAATTTATTACGGTACTTCTACACTGAGTAGCTGCTAATTTTTATTTATTCAGGAATTCTGATAAACTTAAGAGAATTTAAAAATGACTCAAATATAATTTAACCAATGTAAAGGTGTTTCTCTGCTTTCACCTATAAAAACTGGTAAAATTCTTATAAGTTACTACATAAGTAAATGGAAAAAGAAATTTGAGCATCAGTGTCAAGCTTACTTAGACAATCTACCCAGTTTTCCCACTTTCCAAATATAATTGACAGTGGCTAGGTTACTTAGCCTTCTAGGGCTGAGCCTGGAAAGCTGATCTTAAAGTGAATAAATGCTCTCATTATTTTAGGACTTCATTCATTTTATAGTAATTACTCCACCCTTTCCAATATGAACTCCATGCTCCTCATTAGAAGCGACTGAAGTAAAACAGGAGGGGGTAACTGTATGTCTCCTCTGTTGACACTACACTATCCTCCCCAAGTTATGAGCTCAACAGGCTAACAACACAAAATCCCTATTGATGTTTTTCCTCCTTAAAACTTCTTAAACATAGCTTAAAACTTTTTTGGTAAAAACAGATTTTAGCACCTTTGGTAGAATTCACTACACATGACCCCTCTGAATTCAAGAGTGATTAAACAGTCAAAAGCTTATGAGCTTCTTAAGGGCAGTGACTGTGCCTTATTTAAGTCTCTATCCACCATCCCCAATACCCCGTGCTGAATAAGGTTAGGAGAATGAGTAGATGAATAAACAAATGAACTGATAAATGCTCATCGATCAATGATCTTGAATAAGTCATTTAACTTCTAGGAACTTTATATCCTCATCTGTCAAATAAGAAGAAAATATCAACTCTGCCATTACCAGAGGGTTGTCAAGAATCAATAGTCAAAATTTAGGGAGTAATTTGCAAACTTTAAGGAATGGTACAAACGTAAGCTGTTTTCCCCCTTTACTTCAAGTTTCATATTTAATATCTTGCAGTGTAATGATGTCTTCAGATATTGCCTACTCCTTTTTCTGATCAGTTTTTTTCTGATCAGGTATCCATGAACAAATACTAAGTTTCTACAGAAATGTATTATACATTATCATACAGCAATGATTACTCATGTAAGTAAAATCAGCAGATACAAATTAAAGCTAAAATTAGAAACTGTGTCTAAGTTAACATTCCAAAAAGTTATCTTAAATAAAATCAGAAGTTTAACTCACCGCACATTTTTCCACTTTGCCAGCATTATTAGCCCATTTTACTAAAGCTAATAATCGAACAAAGAGTTGGCGTGTCCGGCTAGCAAACTGCACTATTTCTATTTTCCTATAAAATAAAACAATTCTTAATGAATCAGCAGATTTGAAAGAGTATTTCACAATTTTTTTCATCTGAGCTAAAATATGAATCCATCTTTGTTTACAACCTTACAACCATTACAATGAACCACCTAAACTATTTATCTAAATATGAATTATTATCATAGTTTTTATACCACCTACATATGCTTCATTTTTACCTTTGAGTAATAAATCCAATGGAACGTTTTAGCAATGAATCACATTTTTAATGTTAATTTTATGATATAATAGGAGTTGTTTACTAAAATACACTAAATTCACAGGTATAACATTACTATATAATGGATCATAGAGGGGACCAAATTAGGAGTTTCAATTATGAATTTCGTAATTGAAATAAGTTATAAATTAATGACCATTTTGTTAAGAGAAAGGAATTGAAGATCTTTACAAAGCTTGAAACTGTATTATTTCTACAAATGGACCCACTTCTCATCGTGCAAGAGAATGATTTAAAAATTTGTATAATGAAAGAACTTAATTATATAACTCCTTACCAAATTAATTTCAATGACATACTTAGATATTAAATTATCCAAGCAAAGTTAAAGTAAGTTGAGTACTAATAATTAAAGCTAGAAGGTCTGTCACGTATCTATTTTTATGCTATACCCTCTACAATGTTTTCTCTCCAATACTAATCAGCATTTTCATCATCTCCCCATAAAGCCTTAAAAGCTTTACATAGTGACTCAATGTGTGAACTAAATCTCTCACCATCATGTCAACTACAAAACTCATAAGCGTATCTTTCATTGTTTACTTTAAGACACTGAAGAAAATATTCAACAGGCCAGGACTGATGACAGGACCTGGGTGGACACCAACCTCCCTCCAAGTAGATTCTGACCTATTAATTTTGGTACAGTGTTCAATGACCTACAGATCCAACCCCTATCTCTGCATCTCACCAATAGCAATAGTATGATGCAATGCACCAAAATACGTTTTTGCTGAAGTATAATTCTGAATGAAGACAACAGAGTCTAGCTCCTACTGTGAGCACATACGTAGCCCACAAATAACCTGAAAGGCTTCCTTTAGGTTCAGCCAGCAATATGATTATTGGTAGTACAAAGAGAAGAATCAAGACAGATATGATTATGACTCTGCCAGTGTCTCTGAAGGATCCTAGGAGATAAAACAAGCAGAGCATCAAAAGCAAGACCAGGACACAGCAGAAATGTTAAATGTACATTAAAAACTGGCAGCCACCTTATGCTAGGAGCCTTAGTACTGTCACTCTAAGTCAGCAGCAGTTTACAGAGGATGCAAGGTCTCTGCTCCCCTCCTACAGCAAAACATATTTGTGTATTAACTCTCTTTTCTCAAATGAGCTCCTCTACTGAAAAGGTGACACCCCATTTTGTAAACTATTATAATACAAGGGTTTTTTTTTGACAACACGGTCTCAAGAGATACACAGCATGAATTGGTTTTTCAAGGCCATTTCCTTACCCCAGAAGGGTCAGAACAAATCCCAACTTTCATTTCCTTCCTTTAAAACTGACCAGCTAAACCCTAACACAGGTATGCTTCAAACATCTCTTCTACCTCTACATTTTCAAAATATGTATAATCTATCAGAAAGGTCAATTGAGGGTGGGCATAGAGTGTAGTCATTAATGCTAAAATACTCCCTAGTGACTTGGTATAAAAAAAAAAAATCAACCAAGCAGCAGAAGTAGTGCCAAAGATATAGTCAAGTAGCCCATACTGTGGCTACAATTTAAATCTTCACCACATGATTTCTTTGAAACCTTAATTCACCTTGTTACTTTGGTCTATGGAAACATACTGTTCAGTTTTGCCTTAAGCCCCAAAATCCAACTGAATGAAAATTCTAACTATAAAACAGGAAAAGCAGTAATCAAATGTCAATTCTCTAAATATATTTAATAGTACCATTGCAGCAAATGGTAAATTAGCAGACAACTTTCTAAAGTCAGTCTGCTCCTCTGCTTCTTCCATTAAGGTCTATATCTTCTACACATCTTCCAATCCCCCTCAAGGACTTGACCTGGTCAGTGACTCAATAAAGGTTTCTAGAACAGAAGGTCCAGAGCTGGTCTCACACCAAGAATTGTCAAGAATGAGGAAATTATATTTCCCAGGGCTCCCTAAACACGTGGTGTAAAAATCATGCTAGAAATTCTGGATTTAGTTGTCTGATCCACAGCCCTACCACCCATGCCCACCCACACACTCTCACTCTTTCTCATACACATACACCCATAGATACATCAATGAAGACTCAGATTTAAGGTTTGTTCATACTCACCTTTCCACATCAGATTTCCTTGGTAGTCTACGAAGAAAAAAAAGAAATTGACTAAATGTATGTGTACCTTCATCAAGATATGGTAATGGTCTTTACTTTGACTCTATTAAATATCTTTGTGTTTCAGAAAAGTAGATAAATAGCCACTATGGGCTTGTGTGGTCACCTACTCTGTTTTTATGAGGTTCCAGCAGTATGGCCCTAAGGGAAAAACCAACAAAGGAACATTTCTCTCCATTCAAAATACTTCAAAAGGTATTGCATGAACTTCAAACATTAAAAAGCCTAAGTCTTACATTAGCACATTATATCATAGAGAATCAGGGAAAATATTCCTTTCAGCCCAAAATGGTCACAGATGCAGAGTACTACTTGGTTGCTAGCTTCCCGTGTATCCAGTGAAACCTTGCTTCCAAGCAGTGCCATGTTTTGTTATGGTGGGCCAAACTGAAAGCTAAGCACACAAAAGGGCCAGTGTCAGCCAAGGGTTTTATAGTCCTTATGATGCTGCACGGTGGCTAGATGTAAATGATTACTTTTAAACAGCTCCAGCAAGGTTCTGAATTCCTTTTCTCTAGTTCTCCAGTACTGACAGCTAACAACCAATGTTATTAATTTCCTTGATAACATATACCATTTAACACTTTTACATCCACTGATGCTAAGCAAAGGACCTGGTGTGCTTCCCTTCTATTCTGTGAACCTCTATCCCATGGTCCCAGATTCAACAGCCTGAACAACTCTAAAGCCTACCCTACATCTAATCAGTTCTTGAAGAATACACACTGAGATACTTGGGTCCTCTTCTACCCACATGCCACAGGTGCTGAAAAATTAAAACCACTTCCAGAGATTCAAGGTACAAGAAGGGAAAATGATTAAAATGAGCTCTGGCTTGTAGATAACTACATTCCTTAGGGTATACAGTGAAATGAAAGCTGAAGTTAGGATCTGAGTGGTAAAGGAAACCAGCTGGGAGCTGAAAGGACCAGCAGACCAGAGGTTGAAGCAGAAATTAAGGTCTTATTACAGGACTACAAGTAAAAGTAACTTCTGGCAAGTTCTTCTACATATGAAAGCTCCAGAGAACACTCCTCAAGAAGTCACAACACTTGTCCTCAAGGCAGGGAGAATGAAAACCATGGATGCTTGTGCATGTGTACAGTAGGGAGAGAAACAAGAGTAGAGCCTCTGGGGGCAGAAAGAACAGGAATTGTTCCAGCTCTTTCCACGTGCCCCAGAGACCCTAAAGGATCAGGGGTGGTGTCATTTCAGGGACAAAGGATAGGTCTTGCTGCCTGCATCCCTTGTCTATTTAAAATTCCTTTATGGATAACAATTCCTCCTATTTAAAATTCCTTTGTATCAAATCCATCTCTTGGGGTAAAAGCCCCCAAATGCAAATTGATAGAACATCACAAAAACTACACCACAGTGTTATAAGACATGTTTATCTTGTCTTACCACATGAAAAGACATGACTGAGATCCTGGCATTTTCCGATTTTAATTAAAACAGGTTTTAAAAAAGGAGTAGAACCTAAGTCTCTACAAGTCAAGGCAGAGTGTAAACTCCAAGATGAGAACATGTATCCTGGGCAGGGGGGGAGTAGTGGATATACAGAAGGAAAAAAATAACAAAAATCTAGGGCCAAAAAAACAAATCACCCAAAATTGCCAAGTCTGTCTTTTTTGCTTTCAATCGTTTACAGATGAGAATCAAATGCAGCAGAAATAAGATTCTTATGAAGTGTACCTATAACACTGGGTTTACATTAATGCATTAATACTGACCGTTTCTGCCTGGAACAAGCAAAAATACATGATTTAAGAACTTAAGTTCCTAAACTAACTTTGGTTACCACAAACCGAAAAACATTATTTTATAGACCTATGTATCAAAAGCAACAGTGAATTTTCCCATTAAATCCTCCAAGGTCTGTAATAACAACTCTAAAAGTTTGTTCACTAATGTATTAACCCAATTAAACACCAACTATGTGCCAGACATTGTTCTTGGCCCTAGGGAAAGTAGCAAACAAATCAAAATTCCTGTCCTCATGGAACTTCCACTGGGGAGGAGAAAGACAATAAACCAATATTGTCCGGTAGCAGTAAGTGCTGTAGAAAAAAAAAAAGCAGTGAGTAAAGAAGGACAGACTGAAGTAGCAGAGTATTTTTCCTGGGTATTCATTCTGAAAAAGTCTTTTTGGTAAGTTGTATCTGAACAAAGACCTAAAGGGAATGAGAAAGCAGATTTCCCAGGAAAGAGCAACAGCTCGAAGATGAGAGTGTGTTTGCATATCGGGAAACATTAAGAAGGGTAGTGTGGCTGAAACAGAATAAGCAAGGAGTCTTCGGAAATGAAGTTAAAGTGGTAAGGGAGAGAAGGCACAGATCACAAAGGGCCTTAAAGGTAAGATGACTACCTGTCCTGGTTTCCCCAAGATAGTCCCAGTTTATGCTTGTTGTTCCAACATTATTATTAACAGCACCACCTTTCATGCACAAAAGTGCCCTGATCTGGTCCATACATTTTATGGTCACTCTCCCTATATAGGTGACTATTAAAACTTTACTCTGAGTCCTTTAGTACCTAGAACAATATCTGACACATAGTTGGGGCTCAACAAATTAATTTTTAGAATTATCATTGTAGACCACAGAGAATTTAATGGGAAAAATTCACCCCTGGAGACCTGTGAACAAAGAAGTTTTAAAAAGGTCATCCTGGCTATTTTACGGAGAAAAAACTATAGAAGGGCAAGAGTAGCTAGCAGAGACACCCACTAAGCAAACTATTGCAGTAACACAAGCAAAGGATTAACGCTTGATGAAAATGTTTAAAAGTGGTCAGATTCTCAAGTTGGAGGCGACAAGACTTGATGATGTACTGAGTGTGAGACTGCAAGAAAGAGGAGCCAGGAATTACTCCAAAATTTTTGGCCTAAGCAACAATAGGAAGAATGGAGATACATATTATTTAGTGAGACAGGAAAAGTTTGGGAGGATGGCGTGGAATCAGCGGTTTGGTTCTGGATGTGGTACACTGAAATTACACTGAAATGTCCATTAGGTATTTACATGTAAGCATCTGAATAAACAGTCTCGAGTTCAGTGGAGATGCTGTGCTGGAAATATGAGAGTCATTGTTATATAAAGGGTGGGGGACAAACTATATATTTATTCTACAGCAATAAAACAGATGTTTCTCTCTTCATAATTAAGTCCTAAAACAATGAAAAGAACACAATTCAAAGAATTTCTATAAATACCTTATGGAAAAGCAAATTATACAAATCACACAACCACTGTTAGCACTTTTCAACATTTTTCCATAGCTACGCATAGGACAGCTGACCTTCACATACATGAAATTTCCTTATGGATACTCCGGACTTTTATGAAATCCAACAATAAATGGTGTAGAGAAGTATACTACTACAATAATCCCTAATCATGACAGCTGCTTAAGTTTCTCAATAGACAAGGGTAGGCTGCTTTCTGTTCCATTCAATAAAGAAATATATGGTATATCAAACTGAGTGAGAATGTTTTACATCATTAAGTGGGACCTATTTGAATTCTTTTAGTTATCTACAAATATTTTAAGTGTCTAGTTACAAATTACTGTGACACTTCACAGGCTAGTATCTACATATTTCAATTGAAAACACTAATCTGGAGTCTAGCAATAGATCAAAGATAAAAACTAATTCTTACTTTTTCTGAACCTGGGTTAAATGTAAAGCCGTAATTAAACTATAAACACCCCGAAATTTTATACCACCGTTTCTTCATACGCTGAAAATCATTAAAGTGTATTCTGATCCTATTCTGAAGGGATTACAAACCTAACCGTGTCCCAAGGCATTTTACTGGTAACATTTTATAAACTCCCTTCATACTCCAAAAGACAACAGGAGACCAGTTACAAAAGAATCTTTACTTAGAGAAAACGCGTGAAAACTTCAAACACATTCAAACGTTCCAGAAATACATTGTATCTCCTGAATTTAAAATTTGTCAGAAACAATTATAACCTACATTTAAAATGTATGGTTAAAAAGCTGTGAAACAGATTTCCCGTCTTGGGGATTTTTTAAAGGTATTACTACTAAACCCTAATCAATGGGGTTCTGTGAGCAACTCGAGCAAAAATCCCAAGGATCGCAATTTCAGTTAAAGTCTAACAACATGCATAATTAACAAATCTCGTTGGCTTCATCTCCAGAAAGACCCCAAATGCAAAGCTTCTCCTCCACCTCCGCTGAGCCCCAGTTCAGAAATCCTAGACCAAGCAGTCCAGCGGAGAGGACAAAACAGCAGCCTCTAGAGGAGAGGGAGGTGCGAATCTCTCTTAGCCGGTTGGGCGGGAAGCGGGGGCTGGGCAGCAGGCATGGGTTTCGCGGCACTTACAGGTCCGTCAATACCATGAGCTCCGAGTAGGCCCGGTGCAGCAGAAATTCGATCAGGGTGCTCAGCCGGTAGCCAGGGCTAGCCGCCGCCGCAACAGCCGCCGCCACCGCGGCTCCAGGGGGAGGCGGCGCCGGGGCTGAAGCGGAGCCTCCGCTGCCCCCGCCACCGCCTCCGGGTGGAACCAGCTGGTGATTCTCCAGCTGCACTGGGGCCATGGCGGCACAGAGCCAGGCTTGGTGCGACGGCACAAGATAAGCCCCTCACGTCTCCTGGGCGCTCGGTCAAAGGACGCTGATGTGGGAGCGCGGCAGAGTGGCAGCCGCCTACCGCCGCACCGCCTCTTAACAGGAAGCCAAGCGCAGACCGCGGAGGCCCCGCCCCCATGTAAAGATGAGCCAGGCAGCCCTAGGGACAGGGGTGAGGGGCGGGGAAGGGGGTGCGGGGAGGGCGGGGAAGCAGGGCGGCTGCCACTGGGTGGCTAAGTCTCCACCAGCGATCAGTGGCCGTTGGCTAGGCAGCTGCAGCATCCATGTTGACTGCCCAAAGCGGAAGTCGTGAGGCAGAAAGGAAGGAGAACTGCAGGGGCTTCCGACAGAGACCTGTGCCTTTGTCAGCTGTACGGTGCTGGGACGCTTGGGGGCGCGTAGGAGTGGAGCGGCCCCGACGCTGGGGCAGGAAAAACGAAAGGTGGGGGACAGCGCAGCCGGAAGATGGTGTGGGGGCAGACCTGCGACGTCACCACAAATGTCAGTGGTTGCCCTGCCCTTGCCTTTGCCGCCTCTGGGGTTTTAAAGGCTCCAATTTGCCCCGAGGTATCTATCAGAGCTTTTCAGCGGGGCGTAAACGTGGCAGGGGAGGCCTCACTCCCGAGATGTTCGTGAGTTGTGGTTCTGGAATCGCGAAGGAATTGTACTGACTGCGGGATAGTGACTTCTCACATCTTTGCACTTCCCACAGTCTGCCCATGCGCCTTTCGTGGGATAGAAAACGTTCCCGTCATTTTTTTTTGACTGTGGGAAAGATGCAAGGAAATATGATTGGGGGTAGGAAGGAGGGCCGCTGACAGAGTAACTTCGTTTAATGGAATTGGATATATGCTGATCTCATTATTAATCTCCAAATCCCGGGAGCTCTGCCACAGAAACGGCCTTTAAATCCTCTACTGCTGGCTCTCACTAGGTTCTTGTTCCCTGCTCTTGCAGTAGTTGTCCTGCCTTTCAAGAGATTTCAGCTCCGAGTCTATGTCCTTCCACCACTTTCCCCCCTCAAAATACACGTTTAATATTTTGCTTCCTGCTTTAAAACAGTGATTCTCAACCTCGCCTGCACGTTGGCATCACGGGAAGGGAAGGACTTTAAAACATGTGCCTACGAATGCTCATGCCACTCCCACAGATTCAGCTTTAATTGGTCTGATGTGAAGTCTGGGCTTTGGGACTTTTCAATGCTTCCTAGGTGATTCTAATGTTCAGCTAAGGTAGAAATGCACTAAATAAAAGTGTCAGTTGCCGCGACCCTTTTCAAACATCTCTTTGCAGATTTCTATATGTAACTCTCCGGTGTAAGAGATGTTCTTACTATTCCTTAAGGTTAATATACTCTCGATCTTGTCCACTTGTGTAATTCTTCGTCATTCTTGAAGGCCATTTACGTCTTCTGAAGGTGTAACCTTTGGAGTGTAATTGCTTGCTCCCTTTTTTGTGGCCCTAAAGCATATTTGCACACAGTGTCGTTATGGTACTTATCAAAAGTCGTTGAGATTACTTATACCCACTGCAGGTGCAGTTGCTGGGGGGCAGAGACCATCATTCATCCCTATGCAAGCTACCTCAGGGAACAAATATTTTTTTATAAGTTAACTACAATAGTACCATTTCTTTTGCAGTTGTTTTTATTTGTTTTATTGAAGTTCTTTCCCCCTGTTTTGAAAACTATTGACTTAAGTTAAAATATTCTTGTGGTCACACACAAAATATAAGTGGTTCTACAAGATGATCCTTAAGGTCTTTTCCTAACCCTCTGATTCTGATTCTGTGTTATGTTGGTAGGATTTTACTTATTGCGTATATTAAGCACAGTTATATACCATACCCTTTGGTATTCATTCTATTTGGTGGTAAGATTCTACCTGCGCAGGGTATAGCCAACTTGCAAATAAAAGAAAAAAATTAATGGGTGGATGAGGGTTGTTTTAGAAAAGAGAAAATTTCACCCACATCCATCAGAAAAGGTTTTCTTCCTGTGAGTTTGAATAAACATCTTTGAAAATTGAAAAGCACTAGTTATTTTAAAAGGATATTTTAACAGAACATAGGGCCAAAATATAGGAATAGGACTGTGAGACTTGCTGATGTAGAGTTTGTTGATGGGGAGGTACTGTAAGAAAGCTCCTGAAAAAGGAGATAGCCTACCTCCCAAACTGGTAGAATAGCCACTAGGCAAATATAAGAAGTGCCAATAGAAGAAATGAATGGGAAAGGAGAAAAAATGTTAGCTTGTTTGGCTGCATTACTAAAGGAATGACTCACATCCAAACCACTTTTGAAAGTAATGTAATATACAGTTTTAAAGCATACAGTACAATGTTCGGCACTATAGTTTGTGTACATAATTCTTTCATTCACATTTTTCAGTTGTTCCTCTATTTGATCATCACCAAATTCTATCACACCTCAGATAGTTTCAGAACTAGGAGCATATTTCCTCAGCTCCTAAAGTGACCTAAACACTTAAGATCTTTCATGAAGTCAATTGGACTTTAATAAAAGGAACAAATTAATTGTAAAATATGAAGGAAAAAAAGAACATTTCCTTTTAAGCTCTTTTGATGGAAAAATGAAATTGTGATCCAGACAGCTTCATTTTGAAAACATACAGCTGCCCCCTAAACACAACAAAAGAGTGGGAAAGGAATTGAAAAGTAATTCTTTCTTTTTTATAAGATAATGCAGTCAGTTCCTCCAAAGCAGAGCAAAAGCAGTAACTGCATTCATTCAACAGATGCTCCACTCACTGAAGTTGAAGGAACTCACAATACTGTGAGTATGGTCTTATCAACCTAGAAAAAAATGAGAACACTTTTTAAAAAAAATTTCTTACTGTGGCCTCTAAAGCCATTAACAGAGTGGCCCTTGCCTACTTCTCCACCTCCATCTCCTACCACTCTTTCCTTCACTCACTACACTGCAACCCGGCTGGGTCTACTATGTGCCATTCTCTAAGTTGTTAGGGCTTGTCCACTGTTCTAGATACCGGAAACACTTGTTTCCTGGCTCCCAAGTGGCTGGCTTCTCATCCTTCCAGTATGGCTCAAATGAGAAAATCCTCAGTGAGGCCCCCCCTGACTATATGATATTAAGTATGTACAGGGACGTTCACTGCAGCATTGTTTGCAGACGAAAAATATAAAAGATCATAACTGTCTCTCAGTAGGGGAATGGATAGGTAAATTACTATATTTCTACATAACTTCAAATGAATGAATTAGACCTACCTATACCAACATGGATACGTCTCAAAAAGTAATCTTTAATTATCATTTCTGTCCATTTTTAAAACACAAAAAAACCATCTTATTTAATATATTGTAGTCAAAGTAAAAAATGAAGTGAGGATAATAGACACCACCTTCCGGAGAGTAGTTACTTCTAGGGAGAGGAAAAGGATGAGGTGATGCTTTATTGGTTGTTAGCTGTTAGTTACATCTAGTGGTTTCTTGAAGGAAATGCAACAATATTAATTTTCTTGAAGGAAATGCAATAATATTAATATCTCACATCTGGGGAGAGGGATACAATTGTTCATGTATTCTGTACCTTTCAATATTTTAATAAGTATTCCATGATTTTTTTTAAGTTTTAACTTAAAATGTTTCTATTAGTATAATTTACACAAGGGGCCATAAGAAACCCCAAAATCTCAGTGACTTACCACAGTAAGAGTTTATTTGTGGTGCTCACAAAGTTCAGTCACGATGTAACTGATGGACATGCTCTCCTCTAAGTAGTAACCCAGAGATTCGGGCTCCTTCTGTATTGGGAAGCCGTCAGTTTAACCAGATTTATTTTATGTCCACCCACATTCCATTAGTCACATGGCCCATTTTCAATGCTAGGGAGCTAGGAAATACAGTCTTCCTGAGGTGTCTAGGAAGAAAATGAAATGGTTTGTTGAACAAATAGCATTGTTGTTTACCACAATATTACAATAGTCATCTCTCTTTTTTTCCCTTAGAGCACAGCTGCTGAAATCAGACCACTAAATTAAAATCCTAGCTCGACCACTTACAATCTGAATGCTCTTCAGCAAGTTACTTCACTTCTCAGGACCTCAGTTTCCTCATCTGTAACAATAGTATTTACCTCAGAGGATGATTATGAAGAATAAATGAGTTAATGTTTGCAAAGAGCTTAAAACAGTAAGTGAACTATAAATATTAGCTATTATCATCATCATCACTTAGAAGTAATAATTTTTGTATTTGTTTTTTCACCTAATAACATATGAACTTTTTGTCTTCCCCTGCCCTCATGTGGCTCTGTGACATCCCCAGCACCCAGCATAGTGCCTAGCTATCTGGTTTTAAAAATTGAATGGGATCAGTATGTACCTTCATCTATACACTGTAGTTCTATTTATATTGTGTTTGTTTAGGATTAAGATTGACTTACATATATTTACAAGTGAAATGATTAGGATTTCTTTTAAAATACTTCAGAAAAATAGTTGGGGGAGATAATTGAAATATGACTGATACAATGTTGCCATTTGTTAAAGTTGATGTTGGATACGTGGGAGTTCCTTCCATGGATACATTGTACTCTGTTCTTTTTTTACGTTTGACTGAGTGTCAGCCAGTTTCTCATGGGTTTGCTTGCTAATAAACTTGTACTAACTTCTGGCATAACTTCACTAAGGACAATTTGAAATTGTAATGGCCACTTTGGGCAAGTTTGACATGAATAAGATTGTTCACTGAGGTGCTTTTGAACAAAGAGAAATAAACCTTATGAGGAAACTGGCTTGTCTAAAGGGAGACTTTTTCCCCCTATATATCAAGCATTAATAAGTACTGGCTTTTTAATGGCATGACTTGATAAAATTATCAAGGCCCCAAGTTATTGTTTAAAACACTTCTGATGACTGTTGTAAGTGTGTGCGTATGACTGTATGTTGGAAGTGTGTGTTTTGCTTTTACAGTGATAATTTCATTCTAAAACTGGCTCTTCTTTTACATTTTTTTTCTTTTTCTCTTTTCCTCACTTGGGAAATTTTAAGGATAACTGATCAGAAAAATCATTCTCTCATGGTGTACATAATCTAGGAATATTTAATACAGATCAATAGTTATGTCTATGAGAAAGAAAGAAAAAATGTAATAAACTGTGTTTTACTTTCAAAGACATATAACATGTACATTTAAATAATTCCAAACTAAAAGCAAAGTTTAGGGAGAAAGCGGTGCTCCTCAGGAAAATGTGAATTACAACTTTGGTTTTTATTTGTTATTTATGAAGAATACCAAAATTTTGATTACTTCCTCTGAATGTTATCAAAAGCTTGTTGATTTAGGTACTAGTGAAAGATAGGTATAATGTTATAGCAGCATATTCACTAAACCAAGAGTCCAAAATAAGATTGCCAAATATTATGAAGTTGTCATTTCTTCAGTAATATAATTTATATGTTTTATTAATTTTTCAGTTTCATCGTTTTGCCAAGCCAACCAAAAATGTATTTCTTGTAGTGGAGCTTAGATTATATTGAACCCAAACTCTTTGATGAGGCCCACTAAGATATAAAAATACATGTGGGTGAGTCTATATCTTGAAATCGGGTATTGGGTTAAATATTTATCATCCCTTGGAATCACTGTAGAACAATTTTTTCACTGCAGGAAAGTTAGACTACATTGCTTTATATTTGGCAGCAGAGTAGCAGTTCTGTCATGCTACATTTCCATATCAGTCAGTTATTTCTTCTTTCTGGATGTTACACTCGATTATTCTGATATTGTAGGTCATTATTTAATGTCAAAGCATTTTCTCTTTGACAACAGAACACTTTTCCAGATAGAACAAATAATAAATGGATTTAAGAGACCATGTGAAAACCTATATTGATAAGTAGTGGTACTGAACACTGAACCCATCTGTCTCTTGTATGTAGTTGTCGCAGCCCATTACAGACTTTCTAAGTTCTAAACTGACCTCAGGCAAATAGATTAGGTTTCAAAATCATTAGGACTGTGGGTATTGACTTGAGAAAAATAGAATAAATGAAACGCTGTCTGAGTTCCATGTAATGTTTTAAAATTCTCAAAGCTAGAATATTTCCTGTTGTATCAGCTAGGAATGATTTTAGTTGCAGGAACAGACAGTGTGGCTAATAATGGACAGGAATTCATTTTTCTCACATAATAAAGTCTCTGCTGGGGAACAGGTTCAGTGTCTTAGCTGTATCTGCATCCTCTGGTCTGTACTTCATGGTCACAAGATGGTTGCTGTAATTCCAGACATGACATGAAGTAGAGAAAAAGAAATAGTCCCAGAATATTTATCATTTTCATTGTAAAGCAAAACTCTTCCAGAAGCCCTCCAGCATATTTCTGCTTACAGTTAGTCAGACTGTAAAGCATGGCCATTCCTGGCTGCTAGGAAGACTGGAAAACCAAGGCTTTTTGTAGTTTTTAGAATGGAGGCAAGGCAAGGGCAAAAGCAGATGGGTACAGACACTGGGTTAGCCTAGCACCACATGTGAAACACATGTAACTTTTATACTGTTCAGTTCTAGTCAGTGGGACCCAGGCTAGCAAAATTAAGGAGGAAATAAAAAAAGTTTTGTCTGCCAGGAGTTTATAATCTTGTTTCATTTATTTTGCCAAAATACAAATCAAAACTACTGTTCAAGCTTTATTTACTAATATTCTCTTTAATGTACTGTATGATCCGGCCTAATTTAATTTCCTGCCACCATGCATTTGTAAATGATACTAGCTCAGCCTGAAAAGACCTCTTCCCATTTCTACATATTAAACATTTTATTTGTTCTTCACAACTTCCCATGAAGTGTTCCCTAATCTCCCCAAATGGAAATTATCTCTGAGCTCCCAAGGCACATTATTATCAGCTAAAATAACAATAGGTTGGGTGCTTTACATAGCTTTCTCAATCTTTACAACCATCCAATGAGGTAGGTACTATTGTTATTCCCATTCTGTGGTTGTTGAAACCAAAGTTTAGAAAGATTAATTAATTTGGTCAGCAGCACCCAGTTTGTAAGTGCTGGAGCGATGCTTAAGCCCCATCTTTATGATGCCAAAATCCATTCTCTAACACTATGCCGTACTGCTTTCTCTCTATATCCACTGGCTGCAAGAGAGTAAATCAAGTAGGAACAGCATCTGATTGACGTCTAACTAGCCTCCCCTCCTTTACTCACCCTCTGCCTTGGAATTCAGAGGTGCTCAAAAAGTTATTAAATAATAAGTAAAACTGAAGGTTCTGGCAATATGGCAGCAAAATAGTACATAAGAAGATAAGAAATCAGACTATTTGAGTTTAAATCCTGACTTAATTTGAGCAAGGTATTTATCTACCCTATAACACAATTTTCTCACCCATAAAATAGAAATAATGACCCTTTCTCTGTCTTATAGAGTTATTTTATTAGGTTTAAGTGAAATAATACATATGAAGTACTTAAAACAGTGTTGGCATGAAGTAACTGCCCAATAAATGTAAGCTATTATTTATTTTCCTGATAGCCTTTTTAAAATTGAAATTAAAGATGCTATGAGAGACCATTTTCAGATGGGCCTATCTAACAGGCCATGATGTAAATGTAATGCTACAAACAATTCACTGAGTAATTCTGTTTGTTTCAAATGTTCCTGTTACATTGTTTAAGTTTACTTTTCGTAAACATGTAACATTAGTAAATATGTATATCTTTGTTTCTAACTCTGCACTAATTACCCAAACAAACGAGAACCTTAACATGAATTGTTTCCTTTTCTACCTCTGCCCCTCACATATTGAGATCACCTGGGAGTTGAGTTGGACTGTTGATTGTTTTTACAGGATGCAGCGTATTTACTTAGTTTTCTTTTTTCTTCCTTCTTGACTCATATTTATTTTGTCTTAGTACATCTCCAAATAATTCTTTAAAAAATAGTTTGCATACCTAGGCACTGAGAAATTTTTCAGTTGTCGGTGTTTAGGAAAAACAATTTAGAAGTGCTAAGTAAAAATATTTCTTTTGGCCCTCAGGTTGAATGCAAGTGAGGCTTGGTATAAAATTCTAGGATCAGAACAGTTTTCCCTCAGAACTTTTAAGATAGTGTCTCATAGCATCTATTGTTGCCAGTTTTATTTTTATTTCTTTATAAGTAATCAGTTTTTTTTCCTCTGAATGCCTGTAGGATGTTCTTTAAATTATAAGATGTGAATTTTCACCATAATATATCTAGGTGTGGAGGATTTTGTAAAAAAAAAAAAACAAACCCATTTGTGCACTAGGTGGGACCTAGTAGCCTGAAGACTGGTATCTTGAGCTCTAATGATATTTTGTTTACTCTTTATTTCCCCCCTTCCACTCTCTCTGTTTTACCCATGAATGATCACTATTATGTGATTATTTAAACTTCTGGTCCTATCCTCCATGTCTCTTGATATGTCTCTTATACTTTTCATTGTTTTGTCCCTATGTACTGTATTGTAGAAAAATCTCCTGGCTCAATTGTCATCTGTGTTTACAACTGAAATTAAGCCAGTATACACTGTTAGGGCATACAGTTCTAACGGGTTAGATGCATAGTCCAATTGTTTGATACCTGAGTCATATTAGTCAGTAAATATTTTTAATATATTTCCTAGGTGTGTTTGTTATTCTTTTTAGCCTATCGTTTGAGTTTTTATTTCAATGATCAGATATTTCATTTCTCAAAGCTGTAGTTGTATCTTTTCCCTTATTCATTTTCCTCTGGAATGTCTCTGGGGATATTATACTTAATTTTAAAATCTTCTTTAGTTTTGCTATGTTAACTGTTTCTTCCATTTGGGGAGTTTGCTAATTTTCTGTCATGGTTGTTCTTGGTTATTTCCTTGAAATACTCTTTTATTCTGTCTATGAATTTTTGTCCATGAATGAATTTGGCATTGTTAGTAATGAGAGGTTCTAGATAGGTTTCAGTTATCTGAATTAATCTGTAGTGTAATTCTTTTAGTACCATAACATATAAGTATTCTTGCATGGACATTGTTATGGTTGTATGATTACATGCCACATAGAATTGGATCCTGCTTTATGAACAGGCAATCCTGTAGAGAAGCTTTGATGGGAGGCGGTCTACCTAAAAAATTAAAACCCCAGGGATATGCCCCTTCTGGGTTTGAAGCCCAAATTTATACTACTTAC